AGTGGAAAGTAGATCCGAATGAGTGAGAGACCTGAATAAATTTTGTTGCTGGTTCATTATCACAGTGATAGGGCACCCATATCTTCAAATCGATGGGTACACAGATCGAATCTCATACAGTTCCTTGGATCGGCATTTCTGGGGACCCCGAAGTGGAGCGAAACTTAATTCGGTTGCTTCCTGAGCGCGAACAGATAAAAGTCTTAGATGTGCTACCTCTGAGTCAACACCAACAGGCAGGATTCAAAACATCATCACTTGGATCATTACTATTCTGAATCGTTTTTTACCAGGGAAAACCGATCGGCCAAATATATTTGTCGAGCGGGATTTTTGATTGAAGCAGTAGAACTCTGTGCAGGACTCGAGTAAATTTATCATTGTTCCTACTGTCAAATACTCCGCTTAAACAATTAGCAAGAATTTGCTTCTCAATCATGACAAGGTCAATGAATACGTGCTACTATGTCTCGATGGTTCACCAAAAAAAGCCTGTCACTGCTGATCAGCTAACCCTGATTAATAAAATGCATTTGATATGATGTCCAGAGTGAGATCTCCATTTCTACTGCTTCCTGAGCTTGGCAATTCACATGCAAACGTTTTATCACCAGTCGAGGTGACATCGTCAGTGCGTGTGAAGTGACCTTGCCCGACGACAGATTCGACGAACCTGGGGAGAGGTACGAGAACCGATTTTATACACTTGATCAGAACAAGACCTGTTTGTATTTTGTCGGTCATATGTTTCAGAGACTCATCTCAAACGCTGCATATGGCGGGTTGTTAGAATGGAAATCTCAAACGTCAAGAGTCTCCTGTGAACGAATATAAATAATTATGCTCTATGCAGTATTGAACACTGATCGATCTGGGATATTGTCATGTGTGTGTAGAGAGAGAGAGAGAAAGGGATAATTCAGTGATATAATATAAACTATGATAGTTCCTACAGTAAGCCTTCTAGCACTATTTTGTCATGAATGAAGTACAAACTTATCCCATTCCCTTGATCTGTGGAAATATAAACTTTATCCAAATCGGTCTAATCCATGAGATTTTTATCTCGGCACTCACCAAAACAGCCGAAAATCACGTAAATAGTGGGTGAAGCGAACTTTAAGGACCAGTTTAACATTGGGAATGAAAAAATGTTTTGCACTTTCTGCATTATGTGTGTGTATGTGTGGATTTATCTTCTAGCAAAATAAAACAGACTATTCGGAATTGGTGAAGAACATTTACCATATTTATGACGGGCAGTTTTCATCTTGTTGAATACTGAGAATCCAAAGAGTCGAAAGAACAGTCTCTCAGCAGTCGACCCTTTGTGTTGTGAATTTATTTTACAGAGAATTCGTATAAAGTGTTCTTCTATTTTGTGCAAGATGACCTCATAGATCGGGATTTGTATATTCATTATATCACACATTATTCGTCTCTAATCACCTCAATTTTCGCATTCTGAGTGCCGATTGTTAACTTTTACACTGCCTTTCATTTATGTTCGATTTTTGGTCTATTTTGTAGCAAATATTAAAAAAAGCATGGATAAAATCCCATGTTGATTAGTAACAATAAACGGTAATTTAGATACAAAATGTAAAATATGAATAGCCAGTCATAGATACGAATAAATTTATAATTTTTCAGAACTTGGAAACACGAAATTCTCCCTCTAAATAATTCTTTTTAAATACACAATAAACTGATGAATGCCGTACTAGACTGCGACTCATCGGTCCGTTAGATGTTGATCAAATCGATCGTTAATCTCTATTTGATCACGTGACACGCCTGATCACAAACACTAGTGACTATCGCGAATGTCGCGGATGTAATTCATCCGACTTGGAGTGATCAATGTGATTGACGGTTGATGCCATTTTATTAGGCGATGGGTAACTTACTGGCTTCTTATACAGTGTTGCATTCATCACAATATCGTGTATGTGTGTGTGTTTCTGTGCATGACAACCAATCCGTTTTTCACAGTCTGCCCTCCCACCCCTATCCGAATATGTTGATTTACATGCCGTATGTACGCATCGAACTATGTTTATAGATTGAATGCGATTAGTACACATGTGTTGACGCACGAATTCATACTTTGTATAACCATAAAATAAGAGTCCGATGAAATATCAATACTGATAACATTTATAAATGATGCTCCCTAAGTTGTGCTAATTTACTTAAACAGTCGTATGTAATCGTCTATCTATCTATGCTAATCCTTGAATAAATAGCACACGCATACGCACAGATATGGAACACTGAATTTGCCACACACACACATACACACAAATAAAAGAATAGAAAAAGTTGTGCATTTGCATCATGCATCTGCCTAGGATTGATTTTTCTGTGGTAGACCACTGAACAGTGTTCATCCATATTTCAACATCGCATTGAACAAAAACGTAATTCACATACGTTCCAGCAGACTGTTTGATCAATCCACCAACTAACTGATCAACTATAGTTAACTAATTGCATTGCATTTATCAGTGACCGGTTACTCGTCCAGTTGGACCCGATGCGCGAGGTGATACTTTCAGAACCAGTAACTCGGGTGCGATGGAAACGAATGAATGAGTACAACGGCGCCGCTCTATGGAGATACTTTGACCATGTTATTACCCGGGACTATACAATACAATGAGCAAATCCGCTAGACTCCTATTGAAGAATACATCTGTTCAAAGATCAAAGATTTATCATGGGAATAACTTAAAAGCTCATGCTTTTCTCGTCCCGTGGGTTCATGTTGTGATTAAAAGACAGTGATGCATTCAGTTATTTATGTAAAAATGTTACATGATACGAGCCTCTTGCACTGCGGCACGCAGTGCAAAACGTGCTAACGCTTCATCAAGTCTCGTTTGGCGCTCAGAACATAGGAGTGTGGGTCGGAGAGAGTTCCAGATCGAACTCACACTCTGACTGCGAATGACTAACACCGGCATTCCAATAGACATTTTGAGACCACCGGTTTGAACGAATGTACTCTAAGATAAACGTTGGGTGATAATTTCAACAGAGGACGACACGGATGGCTTGGGTTTTGCATTATTTGGTATACCATAATCATATCTCCTCTGATGCGCCGGTGATGATTGGTATGCAACCCCAGCAACTTCAATCTCTCTGCGCATGAATAACGATTCAATCCCCTGACCGTTTTGGTGACCATCCTTGTGGACGCTCCAGCATTTTGCAATCATGTTGTAGCCATGGTTGGCGGACTCTATGAATGGACAAATGTATGCTGATAATAGATGGCGGGAAAAGCACTGACTCAAACCGGCCAAAGATCCGCTTAAGCAAACCAATATTCTTTACAGCTGCATTCGAAACCTTGGCGCATTTGGATAAGCAGCTTAAGTTTTATTGAATGATGATTCTCAGGTCCTCATTATTTTTCCCTATTCACCTCCAAGTTTGAAGCATTTTCACATTCATAATCTTCATTTCCTTGCGCTAATCGCCTCTCAGCAACATGTGTCGTGGCAATTAATGAGCTGGGAAGATTTGGTCTTCCGTCACTCATTGACCTCAGGGTTTTCTCTATTCATTAACTCTAAGTGTGAGGCTAAGTCTTTTGTCCGTGACAAAGTTCTCTAGGAAGTTTCGGATCGTACCAACATACAAGGTATCATCATTATCTATCATCAAAAATGCATGTGAATACGTTAAAAAAAGAAGGTGGAACTGGTATTTAATGAAAGAATCTCTTAGATCACGTTTGCACCTAACTGCAATTTTGAGACAGATCTATCCCGCGAACCCCCGATAGGAAACCGGATGTGCGCATATCAATGTTACTTTTGCGAGCGTTTTCATTAGGACTGGAGCTCAGTTTAGTGACTAATCTATTTCGTCTGTGACTGTGCTACACGCGGACAAATAAAACAGGCCATATTAGTCGCTCGGGTATATGCTTGGGTTGTTTGAATCTGTGGAGAGGAATCGTGGTGCTAAAATGATGGCGTATTCCCATACATATTGAGGTCACCATGACCCGACGATATGTCTGTTTTTCAGAAAATCAAAAGATGACTAGATGATCGTGTTGCGTAATCAGTTTAATCAAGTGATGACAATTCTGTAACCCATGTCCCGTCAATCCGGTTTATAATAATTAACTACCTTTTCACTTTCTTTTTACTTATCGAAGATAAAGTCAACTTTCAGGATGAGAGCTGCAGCCACACAAAGGTTACCTGGGAAATTGCAGAAATAGACAAGACGGGCGGCGATGGAGCGGTTCGAATCCGGGACTTGCAGGCCACACTTTCTCAACCCAAACATTGGATCACCACCATCCCACAAATCAACACTTTTTTCAGTTATCATGTGATCGCATACTAATATAGAAGTTTGAGAATGCATAATGGGAAAAAAATTCTTCGCTTCACGGGGCTTTTCAATGAACAAAATGATTGATGCTGACTGTGGATCCAAGTAATTCAACACCAGACATCAGTATTGCCGATCTCGTATTGCCACTACTGTATGTCGGAGATAGAAAATCAATATGCTATTATCTTCCGTGCGGATTGGCCACAAGCTGTGCGGTAATGAACGAATATTTCACGAAACATAGCAATTTATAAAATCAGTCCTTCAGAGTAGTGTTTATTTTCTTACATTGTTACAAGTAATGTACCTAGACCAAATCAAAGTCCAAGATAGAAAAGCTTCCCAAAAATTAATAAGGAATCATGTAGAAAATTAAGGAAATTACAGATCTCTCTCTCTCAGTCGCATCTGAACACCCAGGTTTGTTTTGAATTCGGAGGAGGAACCGAGTAAAACCATGCTATCTGCGTATTTCAAGCCCCAAAACCAGTTACTTTAAACGGATCACACAACACAAACAATTCGCACACACTTTGGATGGGTGATTGACAGACTGATTAAAAGTCTGAGTGAATACACTACTTTTATGGTGGACTTAACGAGAATCTATTCAAATACCACGGATATGGCACCTACTCGTTAGGCTCCAACTGAATGGGTAACTAACTCCTAAACCTGTACATGAAGATCATTATCGCTCAACAGACATTAGTTCAAACGAAACAAATTGAACCTTGGCTTGACAGCCTTATAAAGGAAAACATGTTCATAGATCGGGGTGGCGTGGATGGGAGTAAAATAGCTGCATCATGACACAGTGTTATTGCAGGTGACCTGTAAGTGCAGAGCGTTTACTAAGGAAACTGTGTTATTTGGTAAAAGTCGCATGTAATCATCTCGGGGATGTGGCATGCAGAATGACAAACTTGTGCGAGAAAACAAAGACGTCAACCGTCGAGTAAAAAATAAAAACCACCAAAACAACATCAATCATATTGGACGATTGCCCGGTCAACATTTCATCGGACGCAATACATATATCTGTAACGGTAAATCTTCCTCCCTGCTAACTCTGGAGTTTTTCAGGATGCAATTTTGTCTCCACTTCTTTTTTCACTGTACATTAAGGACCTTCCCATCTCTCCCAACTTTATCGCCTGCAAGTATGCTGATGACGTGGTGATCGGCTGTCCCTCAACTGTTCCTGATTGTTTCTCTCAACTTCAAGTTTGTCTCCATAACATTTTTAGTTGGTCGACTCCCCGATCTTTAATGCTAAATGTAGATAAATGTGTGGATGTTTCTTTTAGCCTTAAAACAGGTATGCCTTATTAAACCATTTTGAACAATCAGCCTAAACTTTCTGTTAATGGTAATACCAGCCCCAAAGCTAACTTTGTGAAATACCTTGGAGTTACTTTGTTACACAATCTTTCTTGGTCCAAACATGTTGAAAACATTTGTATTCGGGTTCGTAAGCTATCATTCTACGCCTTTAGGCTTAAAAAACTCGGCGTCCCCTCAAATGTCATTCTTAAATTTGTGACTGCTTGCATTCTTCCACATTGGTTGTACTGTTCCCCCGTATATTTTCCTGGTCTGAAGGAGAAAGATTTTATTCTCTTTTCCAGATCTCTCAAACCTCTTTCTCGTCGCAGCGGTATCTCAAAGACCGTTTTGGTTGACTTTATTGTGAGCAAGCATTTTGACTCATGCGATCGATTAATCAGCCATATCCTGTCCAACGAAGAACACAATCTGCACTCACATCTC